AGAGACAAAGAATTCACTAATGGGATCATTCTAACAGGAGGAAATAACCCTTATGAACATATATGCACCCAATATAGGAGCACCTAAATATATAAAACATTTATTGGTGGACTTTAAGGGGGAGACTAACAGCAACACAATCACAGTAGGAAATTTTAAAACCCCACCGTTATTACTGGAAAGATCAAGACAAAAAATCATCAGAGAAACAGAAACGTTAAATGACACACTAGTTCTAATGGATTTAATTGGCACTTACAGAACATTTCATCCCAAATCAGCAGAATACATATTCTTCTCAAGTGTACGTGGACCATTTTCAAAAACAGACCACATGTTAGGGCACAAACAAGTCTCTACAAGTTCAAAAAGACTGAAATCATATCAGCATCTTCTCAGATCACAATGGCATAAAATTAGAAATCAGTAACTTTAAAAATCTCAAAAACATTCAAACCCATGGAGGCTAAATAGCATTTTGCTAACCAATGAATTGGCTACCAAAGATATTAAAGGAAAAACAAAAAGTCACTGGAAAAAAATGAAAGTGAACACACAACAATCCCAAATCTATGAGACACACCAACAGCAGTCCTGAGAAGAAAATTCATAGCACTACAGGAATACCTCAAAAAACAAGATAAACCCCTAATAAACCATCTAACACAACTAAAACAACTAGAATAACAGTAAGAAAAGCCTTAGGAAGTACAAGGAAGGAAATAATAAAAATCATAGCAGAGATTAATGACATAGACTAAAAAACAACACAAAATATTAAATAAATCTAAATAAAATCAGAAACGAAAGAGGAGATATAACAACTGACGCAACAGAAATACAAAGGATTGTAAAATACTATGAGCAAGTAGATGCCAACAAACTGGACAACTGGGTAAAATGGACAAATTCCTAGAAACATACAATCTTCCAAAGCTGAATTAGGAAGAGGCAAAAAACCTGAATAGGCTGATAACAACTAATGAAAGTAAGCAGTAATCAAAAAACTCCCAGCAAACAAAAGTCCTACACCAGATGGATTTACAGGTAAGTTTTACCAAACATTCAAAGAATAATTAACACCAATTCTCCTCAAACAATTCCAGAAAATTCAACAGGAGAGAAAACTCCCAAACTCTTTTTATGAGGCAGTATCATCCTAATCCTCAAAACACATAAAAACTCTACAAAAAAGAAATTTCTAGGCCAGTATTCCTGATGAACATAGATGCTAAAATCCTCTACAAAATACTAGCAAATGAGATCCAGCAATACAGTAAAAGTATTACACACCACAACCAAGTAGGATTTATTCTGGGGATGCAAGGCTGGTATAATATTCACAAATTAGTAAATGTGATACATCACATAACCAAAATAATGGACAAAAATCTTATGATCATATCAATAGACGCAGACAAACATTTGACAAAATCCAGCACCCATTTTTGATAAAAAACCTCAGCAAAGTGGGAATAGAGGAAACATACCTCAACATGATAAAGGCCATATGTGACAAACCTTATAGTCAACACCATACTTCGTGGTCAAAAACTAAAACCATTTCCTTAAAAACAGGAACAAGACAGGGTTGTCTGCTTTCATCACTTTTACTCAACATAGTACTGGAAGTCCTTGCCACAGCCATTAGACAGGAGGTAAACATAAAAGATATCCAAATTGGAAAGGAAATAAAACTCATTATTTGCAGCTGACATGATATTGTACACAGAAAACCCCCAAACCTCCACCAAGGTATACTATTAGATTTGATAAATGAATTTGGAAAGGTAGCTGGATACAAAATTAGCATCCAGAAATCAGTGGCATTCTTATACACCAACAATGAACTCTCAGTAATAGAAACTAAAGCAATACCATTTACCATTGCAACTAAAAAAATAAGATACCTAGGAATAAACTTAACCAAGGATGTAAAAGACACATACTCAGAAAATCACAGGACATTGAAAAAAGAAATAGAAGATACAAACGAGGAGAATATATCATGTTCATGGATTGGAAGAATTAATATCATTGAAATGCCCATACTACTCAAAGCAATCTGTAGATTCAATGCAATTCCTACTAAAATACCAAAAGCATATTTCACAGAGCTAGAACAAATATTCCAAAAATTTATATGGAACCAAAAAAGACCCAAATAGCTGCAGCAATCCTGAGAAAGAGCAGAACTGGAGGGATCACTTTACTGGAGATCAAACTATACTACAGAGCCATTATAATCAGAACAGCCTGGTATTGGTACAAGAACAGATCAATGGAACAGAACACAGATCTCAGAAATATGGTGAGTTAATATTTGACAAAGGAGGCAAGAGTATACAATGGTGTAAAGACAGTCACTTCAATAAATGGTGCTAGGAAAATTGGACAGGTACATACAAAAAAATGAAATTAGATCATCAACTTACTTTCTATACAAAAGAATAAATTCAAAATGGATAAAAGTCTTTTTTGTTTAATATATCTTTATTGAATTCAGAGAGAGTTGAAGAGGGAGAGAAATATAGAAACAACAATGATGAGAATCATTGATCAGCTGCCTCCTGCACACCCTCTACTGGGGACTGAGCCCGCAACCTGGGCAAGTGCCCAGACCGGGAATTGAACCTCAGTCTCTTGGATCCTAGGTGGATGCTCAACCACTGAGCCATGCCCGGCCATGCTCGATAAAAGTCTTAAACCTAAGTCATGAAGCACAGAAATCCTATAAGAAAACATAGACAGTAAAGTCACAGACACCTCATATTGTGGAATTTTCACCAATACATCTCCTAGGGCAAGAGAAACAAAAGAAAAAAATAAACAAATGGGACCATAACAAACTAAAAAGCTTCTGTACAGCAAAAAAAATCAATCTCAAAATACAAAGGAACCCCATGGTATGAGAGAACATGTTTGCCAAGGATGCATCTGATAAGGGGCTAACTTCCAAAACGTACAAAAAACTTGTACAACTCAACTAAAGGAAGACAATCCAATTAAAAAATTGGCTAAGGACCTGAAGATACTTCTCCAAAGAGGACATACAGATGGCCAAGAGATATATAAAAAAATGCTCAACACTGCTAATCAGAGAGGTCATTTGTTGATTTGTTGATAGTAGCCATTCTGACAGGTGTGAAGTGATATGTCATTTTGGTTTTAAATCTACACATGTGCTGGCAAGGATGTGTAGAAAGGGGAACCATGGTACACAGCTGCTGGGAATGCAGACTGGTGCATCCACTATGGAAAACAGTATGAAGATTCCTCAAACAATTAAAAATGGAACTGCCTTTTGACCCAGTGATCCCATTTCTAGGAATGTATCCTAAGAATCCTGAAACACTAATCAGAAAGAATATATGTACCCCTATGTTCACAGTAGTGCAATTTACAATAGCTAAGATCTGGAAACAGCCCAAGTGTCTATCCGTAGATGAGTGGATAAAAATGCTGTGGGACATTTACACCATGGAATACTATGCAGTTGTAAAGAAGGATCTCGTACCCTTTGGGACACTATGGATGGACCTGGAGAATATTATCCTAAGTGAAATAAGCCAAGCAAAGAAAGGTGAATATTACATGATCTCGCTTATACCTGAAATCTAAAGACCATAATAAACTGATAAACAGAATAGACTCAGTGACGCAGAAGCATGGAATAGCCTGACGAATCTCAGAGAGAAGGCTGGGGTGGGTATAGATTAACCAAAGAATTTTCATGCATATATGCATAACCCATGGACAAAGACAATAGTGTGGTGAAGGTGTTCAGTGGGGACTGGGTGCGGGTTGAAAGAGGTCAACGGGGGAAAATGGAGACATCTGTAATATTTTCAACAATAAAGATAAATTTAAAATAAATAAATAAGAAAGAGAAAGAAAGGATTAGTTTTCTTGTTCTAAAATCTCATATAAATGGAATAACAACATATACTCTTAGGTTTTACTTCCTTGGTCATAAAATGTTTTTGTATAGTCGATACACTGTTGAGTATATCAGAAACTTTATTCTTTTTTTAGTAACAGCTTTATGGAGATATAATTTGTATACTATACAATTTGCCCATATAAATGTACAATTCACTGTTTTTTAGTATACTCACAGTCAAGCAACCATCACTAGCCTCAAAAGAAACTCTGCAATCTCCAGATCCCCAGTAATTGTACCCCCAGCCGTAAACAATCATTAATCCATTGTATGTCTCCATGGAAATAGATATTAATAAAATGTTTTTACTGTGACTGGGGGGGGAAAAAATCACCTTCCAATCAAATAAACACTAACTGAAAAATAGAAAATATTTGTATACTAAGAAATGGTCCATTATTTTATGTGAGGTAAATATGTATGTAAATCTGATACAATAAAAAAAGGAAAATCTATGAAAATGACAAAACAATCCCAGTTTAACTGCAGGAAATACAACACTGTAAGAGTAGTATATGACTTATAATTTTTGTAACTTAAGACTTTTTTGTTTGCAGAGACCCTAAAATAATGTCCAAAGTTTACATTCAATGAATTAACTTGTCTTCTAAATTAGAAAGGTGCCAAGTAAGAAAAATATTTAATAAATGCTTCCATAGCAAATAAGAGCTTTACAATTCCTGTTCTTAGAATAATTCTGTGCATGCACACTTGAAAAACAAAATATTTTAATATGAACTATAATTGAAAAGTAAAATAAAAAATAATAATTTCGTGTAACAAGCATTTTAATCTCATTCTTAAACTTGTTACATTTGCACACAGCATACTACATTGCCTTTGCATCACACACATATTCCATAAGACAAAAATGGAGAACATTGTGTTTCCCTCAAAAACCTAGCAGGTACTTATCAGTGTTCAAATCTATTCGTTATATACCTGTGTCCTCCTATAATTCTGTTTATAGCACAAGAGACTGAAATTCATTGTCGGAGAGCAGCCAAGTAGGGCTACCAGAACACTAATATTACTTTATGCAATCATTTATTCTTACCTATGTTAATTGTGGCTTGTCTGCTGATAACTTCCCGTGAGAGTGGAGTCAGCTTGGTAACATCCTGCAATAAAATATTTTATTTTAAAGTACCAGAGGTGAAAGAAACCAGAACTTTGATTTCACGTTTAGTATATACAGAACCTCGCCATCGATTCTGCTCTTTAGTTCTTACCAAAAAAATCACCTTTTTTATAAGGACTCTTTATTCCAGAGACAATCGTGGCGCTAACGAGTCCAAAAAGGTCCTTTTTACTTGCAAAAAATACGACTACCACCACTTCCATTCACTGTAGGAGATCTGAAGGTCTAGGCCCCCAATTTTAGAATTAGCACCGAGGAGGGTGTAAAATAGTCCCCTCCCGGATCTTTAAAGGGGCAAACCTTAATATGTTTGAGCGATGCTTCTCCGAAACCTTTACAGGTGAAGACCTTAAGCACATTAAATACCATAACCTTCCAGCGTAATCCTCTGGAAGCTCCAGGGCATAAGACCTCACACCCTAACACCAAACTCGCAGACAGCACGACATTCCTTGTCCCAAGGCCTCCCGGGAGGCAGAGTCATTCCCACTCCCGAGTTCACCCCTCCTTTCTCTAAGCAAAACCTTACCAAATTGGCGAGATCCTGACGAGAAAGATGCGGCTGCCTCAGGGTCGCACTATCCTCAACCCCCGCCATCTTGCCCAAAGTAGAGGAAGCCTCTCGGGATGCTGCCTGTCCCTACGCAGGTCCCCTAGTGCGAAAAAGGAAGGCATGGCAAAAATGCCGAAAGGAAGATGACCCCTGTAGCAAGACCTCACTGCTTGAACTTCTTTCGGCTTGGGCAAGTACCTACTGGTAGACTTAGTACTAAAAAAAAACCCGATAGGTTCACAATATGTTCGTTATTTGTGCAGGCAACATAAGGGCAGCCCCACAAAAGGCCCCTTGCTAGCTGGGTGACGTAACTGTCGCGTGCGTTATCTGCTAAAACAATTTTCCTTAATGGAGGGAATGACTGGAACCTGGGAGTCTTTTTTGGCATTTTTGAGAGCATAATTAAGAGGGTTTGTTGCTTCATGATTTCTATAGTCTAATAAGGATAGGTCACTGGGGTCAGGCCTGCCTGTGCCCTGGACCCTGGCTGAAAGGAGGCCCCTCGCTGAGCTGGCCACGCGAACAGGACCGCAAGTACCCTGACTAGTGGCTAGTAGGGCGCCCTTTCGCGGAGGTTTCTGGCCCAAATCCCTAAATTGTTCCCAGAATTCTAGGGCCGGTAAAGTGGCTTTGGGACATTTGCCAGCACTCAGAGCGCCCACGGAAAGATTTTTAAAAAGCAGATCCAACAAGACCCACTTTTAAAATTGTAAGGTAACCAGGAAGTCGGTTTTTAATTTTTTTTTTGGTTTAAGTTTATACCTCTTTTCTATAGTGTCTATAAGTGGAGATGGAAGAATTCTAAGTAGTATCTATTGCTGGATGGCAAATTTGTGATTCCTGCCAAAGCACCCTTACCAAGTTAAAAAATAAACAAACAAAAAAACTTTGAGTAGACCACAAAGGGGTTAGTTAGTTCAATAGATAGTTTAATTTCACATAGCCGAATTTCCCCCACCTCTGAAATTATACCATTCGTACATGACACTTCTCCATCTCAGAAAATGAGAACTCTGTTCTTTCAGTTGCTTAGCCAGAAACCTTGCTTTCATCCCTGAGTCCTCCCTTATACCTACATCCAAGAACTCCTGAGGGCTCTACCTTCAGAATATATCTTCTCATCACTTCCACTGTACCCACTATGAACAAAAAAGCTGGCTGTGAAGCAGGTCTTAAAAGCTTAGGGGTTTACCTAGCAGGCCTGACCCACTGGCACCAAAAGTAACCACACAGGATGGTCTGATCATTATTTTATAAGTGGACAGGTCATGGAGGTAGTAATATCCCAGGACTGCAGGTTCTCAAGTATAGGTTATTCTTTACCTTAAATGAGTCCTGCCTACGTATTATTCTTGTATATTTAAGATAACATGCCTTTTTTATTTTTGTTAATCCTCACCAATGATTTTTATTGCATTGGGTGTTGTTTTTTTTACAGAGAGTGGAAGGGAGGGAGGTGGAGAGAGAAACATCAATGTGAGAGAGACACATCAGTAGGCTGCCTCCTGCGCTCCCCTCAGGGGGTTGTATCAAACCTGCAACCCAGGTGCTTGCATTTGACGGGAAATCAAACCCAAGACCTTTTGGAGCTCAGGCTGAGCTCGACACTCCAACCCCTGAGACACACTGGTCAGGGCAACATACCTTTAAAATACTTATTTTCTTTTCCAGACCTGTCAAAAACACACCCTCTGGCAACATGGAAATGCCTCATTGTTATCTTATTGCACATATACCATCTTTATGTACAGTAAATACTAACTATTTTGTATTCATCAGTGTAAAATAAATTTTTCTCTATTTGACTTCTTAATCCAGTCTTAAAGATTTCCCTACTTTGTCTTCTTAATATACCACCAATGGATTCCATGTAACCATCCTTAAATTTTCTCTTTTGATTTTAAATATATGTAAAGAATTGTAAAACTGCCTTTCTCCAGAGCATTTTATCAATCCTTTCAGATTTTGCTTCTGGGCCAGGTTCTCAGCCATGGGCAGAAATAAACTTCTTAGACCTTCCTTTAGGTTTGAACTTTCCTTTGTTGACACCACTATTGTCTTATCTGCATTGTTGCCCTAGCCTCCTTACCCACCTTATTTCTATCCTTGTTTGCCTAAATTCCATATTAACCCAGCAGCTTAAAAATTGAATTATATGCTACCTCTTCTTTATTTCTCAAGTGTCAAAGTACTTATAATGGCCTACATGGCCTGACACAGTCTAGTTCTCTTCGTCAAGTAAATACTCAAACTACCTCTACTCTGATGATCCCAATTAAAATGGAATTAGTCTTCCTTTCTAATCCTGTTAACAGTGAGCAGCCCCAGATGTTAGAATTCACACTTCAGTCCTTAAGTTTGACTTGAAAAGACTTCAGAGCCAAAAATTCTAATTAAAAGAGAAAATTTATGTAGAAAATCACAGAGGTAGAGGAAGTAAGCCAGCTGAGCTGGGTGGACTCAGGAAACCAGTTACAGTGGCAAAAGATGGGTTTTTGGAGCATAAGAGAAAAAGCAAAGGTATGGGCCTTGAGGGAAGAAGGGGAAAGGAAAGGTGTGGGTGTGCTCTGTAGAGAGCGTGCTTGAGGGAAGAAGGCTGTGAAAGGGCTTAGGTGAGAGAGAGAAAAAGAGACGAAGAGGGTGGGCCATTGGTCCTTTGTCATAGGGGTTTTTATTTGGAGATCTGAGTAGAATATTAACTTTCCAGGTGGGACCTTTTAGGGTCTTGTTCCCTACTGATTGGTCAGGGCCATTAGTCATAGCAGCCACATCTGCCATCTGATGATTCACCTGCTTTTGCTGCTTTTCTGAGCCTGGAGCTAAAACAAAACTGAGGTCTGGATGTTATCTCTGGTTTACCCAAACTGTCTGTGGTCAACAAACCCAAAACTTCGTTGCTAAGGTTATTTGATGTGGATCATAATCTCATTGTCCAGAGGACTTAATGATTGAGGCAATGGTTATGCGAGGACTTGTATGGGAGTCATATGCAAGTATTCTCTGCCCTCCTTGTTCCTTCTTTAAGGGGCTCTACCACATGACTAGCGACATGCTAGGGGAGGAAATGTCAAGGCTGTGTCTGAACTACATAACCAGAGATATGAAAGGTAAAGGGTCTAAGCTACATGATCAGCATTATACTAGGGGAGAAAAGTTCACCCTGGGAACAAGGTCCCACCCTACGATACTTGTTTTCTCCATTGACAGGTATCCAGGGCTTTAACACCCTGGTGACCTTATGTGCTTGCCTATTGTTGCTACCTACCCCTGTCTACCTGCCTTAAAGATTTATTGGCTTTGAATTCTTTAAGGGAAAGAGGAGTAGGTTTTCTTCTCTAGCTGATTCCTGTTGAAGAGGGGCAGTTTTCTTTCAGATTCAAGTGATCCTTGCTCTCTTTCAGAGGGACCACAAGGCCTGGGCCCAGTAGGAGGCTGCAACGGTGTCTAGAATAAGTAAGGGTTGCTATTCTTGGAGTACTAGCAGGTTTTGTAATCTGGTGAAGACAATTTGTGTTACAAATCTTAATATCATTGGGGCAAAAGCTAAAATGACAATATGACAAATGGTCTAATGAAAGGAAATATTCAGGCAAGGATATCAGTGGGCTCTCAGGCTGGTTGGCCTAAACTTTGGATGTTGTTCGACCCAACTAACAAGTAACACCTCTGGTCATGTCATCAACACAGTTAGGTTCTGTATTGTTTACACAGCATCAGTCACTAAGATTTTTTTTAAGTTTGTATCAGGTCTTTTGACTGTAATTTGTTATTGTAGAGCTCAGAAAAAAATTTAGTTCTCAATAATTCCAAATCAAAGAATTGGAGAAAAATAAAACATTAATTTGGAGGCTTGTAGCCAAATATTTAAGAAAACTACAAAAATTCAAGATTTGGTTCAGTTTATGTTAAAAAAGTAAAACCTTGCCTGGCCGGGCGTGGCTCAGCAGTTAAACATCAACCTAGGATCCAGGTGATCAGGGTTCAATTCCCAGTCAGGGCACATGCCCAGGTTGTGGGCTGCAGGCAATCAATGACTCTCTCATTATTGATGTTTCTATCTCTCTCTCTCCCTCTTCTTTCCTCTCTCTGAAATCAATAAAGATATATTTAAAATAAATAAATAAATAAAACTGAAGATAATTAACTGAAGTAGACTTTAATATCTATAATTGTATAGGGTAGAGTCTATGAAACACAATTTCTCTTCTAAAATGACCCTCAGTTTTATTAAAGAGCCAAATTAACACCAATTTATTTACTGTATTAAGTCTAGTTTCAATTTGACCTGATTGTTTGCATCAGGTCAGCACAAGAGTAGAAATTGATCATAAAGGTGCTCTTAAATCTGCTTTGTTGGAGTCTTATAAGGAATCTCCAGATTGAGCTTTAAGGGCAAAGAAGTCAAAGCACACAGTTCCCATCAGACTTTGACTACAATACTTATAATTTTGGTGACTTCCTCAAGTTCTTGAGGTTCTTTCCTGCCATCTTCCAGAAAAGCAGCCTTTGTTCTTTACTTGGAAACATGCCATGAACCATATGAATGAACAAGGTACCAGGCAGTTTTTCTAAGGGGCTTTTACTGGCTTCCAAAGAAAATTTTAAGTCCTTAGAGCTTTCTGGTGACATCCAAATTCTAGTATCTCTGTCAATCATGACATTCCAGTTAAAGTCTTGATTAATAAAATCAGTTTCCAATTGTGTCCTATTATAATGAGATCAGATTCTTATTGGAGCCAGGCAAACAAACATACTACCATGGAAATAATAGTACTCACTAAGAGTTTTCAAATTCTGGAAGGATCAAGTAGGGATAAAAATAGAAATGCTTTAATATTGCTTACAAAGGTAAAATTTATCAAACTGCTTTAAGAAAAACATAAGTTTTCTTATATTTGGAAGGCAAAAGGAAAATCCTTGTCCTTTTACAGAGTTAAAAATATCAACATTCCAAATCTGTATTAGCTTACTTTTGATATTTAAATTCATTAGTTAAATTCATTGTTCAGTTTAACTATATAATTTCTGTTATAGGCACCTCTCACAACACCAGAGA